TGTTTGCAATTCTTTTTCCCACTTTGACCTTTCATGTTTGCAATCCTTCCCACTTTACTCCTAAACTAACTTTTATAAAAAAAACTAACAGAATCTGCCACATTACCAACATATTAGCTCCATATATAATGCAAAAATTCACTAAAGATACAAAAAAACGAAAAATAAAAAACAAAAAAAATTGAATTTTTTTCTAGTCTTTAGTAATTTTTTTTTTCAAATTTATTCATAAATATTATTACATTATAGATGCATATAGATTAGATGCACTTAAAAAAATAAAAACAAATTTAACTAAAAAAAATCACTAAAGACAAAAAAAATGAAAATATACTGACATGTATTGTCAATTATGAAATGAAAGGTTTAATATTGTTTTTTTTTCCCATCTTTAGTAAAAAAAAATTTTAAAGTTAAATTTGTTTTTATTTTTTTAGGTGCATTTTATCTAGATGCATCTATAATGTAATAATATTTATGAATAAATTTGAAAAAAAAAATCATTACAGATTAAAAAAAAATTCTTTTTTTTTGTTTTCTATTTTTCATTTTTTGCATCTTTAGTGAATTTTTGCATCACACATGGAGCTGATGTGTCGGTGACGTGGCAGATTCTGTTAGTTTTTTGGATGGAAACTAGTCTATGAGTAAAGTGAGAAGCAAACATGAAGGGCCAAAGTGAGAAAAATCAAATTTAAAGAGTCAAAGTGAGAATGATTGCAAACATGAAGGGCCAAAGTGAAAAAAATCAAAATTAAAGTGCCAAAGTGGAAAATGGGTGAAACTTTAGGGGATAAAGTGTAATTTACCCTAATTTTAACCACTAATAAAATGAAAGAGAGAGGAAATAAAGGGATATGACTCTCTTTTATACTCTTATTCTCCATATTTCATTTTATTTTACTTTGTAGATTTCATTTTATGCCTATAATGATAATCCAAATTGTTTATCTTATAAATCTCACAATGAAGTATTTGTACAAAAAAAAATCAATTTCATTGGATAACGATGAATACATAAACAAATCATGTTTTGTTTTATAGAATGAAAAGTTTAAGTTTAAACTCATAATTACTATTCATTTTAAAAAAAATAAGATACAGTTTATTCATATATCTAATGATGTTTGATAAATTAACTTTTGCATAACTTATCTAAATTGTTGGGATTATGAGGTGAATTATTTAAATTATCAATGTGGGTCTAAAAATGGAGCTTAAAAAATAAAATATGGAAGATATGAGTTTGGAATGGAGCCTTTCCCAAAATGGAGAGAAAAGAGAGGAGGGATGAAGAGTGTGGGTTCATACCTTCACATGATCCATTTCATGTCATTATAGATAGATTGAGGGTACTTAATTAGTGCTCCCAAGTATTTTTTCATATTGATTAATGATAATGATGTTATGTTTAAAAAAAAAAAAGGTTTTTAAAAAGTTGTTTTAGATTTTTTTAATTATTAAAAATTAGTTTGGTAAAAAAAAGTTTAAAAAAATTTATTATTTCTTATATAGTCTTATTTTTTTAGAAAGTAAAAATAATTTTTTTTATCTAACCAGCTCAATTGCCTTGTAATGGTTTTCATTATTAGAAGTAGTTGGATTATTACATAACCTTAGGTAGTTGTTGCCTAAAATCTATATAAAAAAATTGGTCTTCTTAAGTTGTTGAGTATTGTATCCTATTTATTATATTCACTTTTATGTATAAATATTTTTGAGTTGGTTGTCGAGAGTTGTTGACAATAATAGTGGTCTTATGGGTGAAGAGAAATCAACAAGCGAAAATAGCAGGGTTTATAAATAAATAAATCCAACCCCACACTACAACATTTTCTTAGTTTAGTGACATTTGAAAGTGCCACAAAACTATTCTTCTAATGACATTTTTCGGTCTTGTGGCATTTTGAATAAGTGCCACTTCTATCAGTGCCACGGTAGATACGAGTGCCACGGTAGATATTTGCAAGTGCCACTGCACCATCATGACTGAAAACTTTCAATGACATTTTAATGTAATGGTAGATATTATTTGTGGCACTATCAAGCGCCATTAAAAAAAGAGTTAGTGACACTTGTAAGTGTCATTACACCATCAAAACTAAAACCTTTCAGTGACACTTTAATGTCATGGTAGGCACTATTCGTGACGCTATCAAGTGCCATTCATGACGATAATTCGTTGTAGAACAATTTGATCCGTTCTTGCGGAGACTCGAACCGCCAACCTTCCGCACCATAAACCTTATACACCATACTCTTCCCACTACACCTCTATATCACCACATGATTATATATGCAACATATATTATTTATATAGCACATACATCCATATTAATATAAAAGTATATGTATAAACATAATTATTTTATTGAACATAATTTATGTAAAATAAACTATTTACTACCAAAATAAAAAAAAGATCACTTTTGGCGACTAAAAAATTTTATACTTTTGGCTACTAATTGTTTTTTAGTTGCTAAAAAACTTAACTTTTGTCGACCAAAATCGGATTTGGTCGCTGAAGATGCACTTTTAGCTACCAAAATTTTGGTCACCAAAAAATTTTATTCCCGCCTTAGGATTTTAGTTCTCTCGCGCTAAAAATGACCATTTTTGGCGACTAAACTTATTTTTTAGTCGCCAATTGTAGACTTTTGGCTACTAAAATTTTTTTTGGCACCAAAACCCATATAATCAGCGACCAAACTTATTTTTAGTCGCCAATTGTAGACTTTTGGCTACTAAAATTGTTTAGTCGCCAAAAAGCTTTACTTTTGGCAACTAATGCTGTTTTGGTCGCTGAAAGCTATACTTTCAGCGACCAAATTTTTTTGGTCAGGAAATTTAGTCGCCGAATATGCTTTTTCCTGTAGTGTATATTGAGTTTAATTCATTTATTTTTAATCATTTACTGCATTTTAAAAATTTAGAAAATATATTGGCATTTTTTGTTTTTTCAAAAATGTCATTATAAGCTTAGAAAGTTTTTGGCTTAGTGGCATTTCTCAAAATGGTATAAATTATTTGTTTATGACACTTTTCACCTAAGTGCCATAAAAAGTAATTTACACCTACCTAGTGTCCTGACATTTTTTAAAAAATGTCATTGCAAATAAAGTTTAGTGGCATCTGTTGGTAAATGTCACGAACATAATTTTGTGTCATAATTTTATAAAATGTCATAAAATTGATGTGACATTTCTTTATTGAAATGCCACTAGAGCCTTATATGTTTTGTGGTTCTGTGGCATTTTTCTAAAACATTTAACGTCAATTTTTATTTTTGTGGCATTTTCTAAAAACATGCTACTAGTGTAGTGTCACTAAAGTGTAAATTTGTTGTAGTGACATTTTTGTTATAGTGAAGTGACACTTTTTAATTGAAATGCTACTAGAGCCTTGTATGTTTGTGGCTCTATGACATTTTTCTAAAAAATGCCACCAAATATTCTTTTTGTGACATTTTTTAAGAACATGCCACTAATATAGTGTCACTAAAATATGTTTTTGTTGTAGTGATGTGACACTTGTTCATTGAAATGTCACTAGAGCCTTTTATGTTTGTCGTTTTGTAGCATTTTTAAAAAACGTGCCACTAAATATCATTTTTTGTGGCATTTTCTAAAAATATGCCACTAGTGTAGTGCCACTAAAGTATGTTTTTGTTGTAGTGCCAATTTATAAATGATATTAAACAGGCTGTCATCACTTTTTAATGTTTTGACAATTGGACTAATTCACGTTGTTTTTTAAAATAATTAACCTTAATACAGTAAAATATTTTTCTATATTTAATTGCATCCTTAAAACTAATGTATTAGTGATTATATTAGTGATGGTAACATGACAGAGGTGGTGGGAAGGGGGTTGTAATATTGTGGTGGTACATTAATAAAAAATATTTTTTACCTTACTTTTCATTAACCACAAATTTTTTTTTTTTCATTTTTCCTTATACCAATAACTAGAAAATGCAGAAAAATATTTGCCCAAACAAAAGGGATAGTTTCTACAATAGTGTTTGAGAGATGTAATTTAAGAACTCTAATGTTGGGTCTCACATGATGACGCTATGTTTTTTTTTTTTTTGACACCTCACTAAAACTCATTTTAGAGCTCTAATGTTAGAGCTCTTTATCACTACCTTAGGCCCTGTTTGTATGGAGAGTTAGAGAGGGGATTGAGATTGGTAGTGAGGTGGGACCTACTAATATTGTGTTTATTTTGAGAGATGGGAGGGGATTGATAATGAGTTCCGGATTAGGATGGGCTTCCCCAAAGAGATTCGGATGGGCTTTCAGGACTTGGTATTAGAAAAATAGTCTGACGGACTAGAAATTTTTTATTTATATTTATTTTTTATTTTATTTTTTACATGTCGGACATTTTTTTTTGAACATTAATATTTAATTTTTTGTATTTTTTTGTTAAATAAAAATCATTATATTATTTGTTTTATTTTTTTCTGAAAATTTTTTATTTTATTTTTATTTTTAATTTTTTATTTTATATGGTGGGCATTTTTTTAAAAATATTAATGTTTAAAGTTTTTGTACTTTTTTTTATTTGTTTTATTATTTAATATTTATTTTATATAAAAATAATTTAACAATCTTTACACTAACAACTATTATAAAAACAAAAATAATTTTACTTAATACCCTCACTATCAATCCCCTCACTAACAGCCCACTCACTGTTAATCTCTTTACTATCAATCCCTTTCATTTTACCTCTAAAAACAAACGGGGCCTTAGTTTCTATTCCAATTTCGGCCACAAAGACACAAGCCCAAAATTGTTTGCCGAGCCCAGCCCATTGTTTCCAAACCCAAATTCAACTTACACGGGCTTTGAGGGCCGATATCCACCCAAAACCTATTCAACTTACACGGGCTTTGAGGGCCGATATCCACCCAAAACCTACTCTCTCTCTCTCTCCTTTTTTCCTTTCCTTCCCTTCCCTTCCTCAGGTTCCTCTTTGATTTTCATGTCTGTAACCCTAATTTACATGTATCTATTATATATGTATAGCAACATAAATTTGAGTTATCAGTTTGTATTTGACTAATTGTTTATACATATATATATGCAGTTTGATTGACGAACAATTAGGGTTCCGAGAGAGACATTGAAGAGATGGCTCGTTTCCGAAATGTAAGCAGTCTATAATTTCTCTGTTATGATGATGTTGCACGTTGTTTGGTTGCTAGGAAAATCTAAAGAAAGCTGAACAGAATTTGAGCCTTGTGTTTTCTTTTCCCTCCCTTCGGTTTTCATGGAAAAAATAAAATGCACTGGAAAACTCAATTCCTTTTAGTTCTCTCTCTTTCTTGTTTGTTGGGCTTCAAATTTGAGTAAAAAAGCTTTATTTGATATGGTCAAACTCAGATTTAAGCATAAATTAGAGCAAAAGCTTCACTAGTTGTAAATTGGAGAGTCACAGAAATACCTTGAAAATTTCGAGTAATACTCAATTTGGTATAAGTTTTGGTCCAGTAATGGAGGGTATTTTGAGTATTTTTTTACCCAAATTTAATTTTCTCTTCTTTCTCTGCAACCAAAAGGTGTTTTTAGTATCATTTTTTGCATATCTGGATTGACTTTTGGTATCCAACATGACTTGAATCAGAAGAAGAAGAAGGTATTCATAAAGCCGGTTCTGAAGAAAAAGCAGCCGGATGTCGATCATATCACCGGTGACAAAATCCCAAGAAGCTTTGTATTTTCAAGAGGGAAGTTACCCGGTTCTCTTAGACAGTTGCAAGCGGACTTGAGAAAGTTGATGCTTCCATATACTGCCCTTAAGCTTAAGGTAATGATTTTCTTCTATTCATTCATGCTATACAAGATGTAGCTAAAACAACTTCCAACAATTGTTTATGGCATAAGTTTGAAAGTACTTTGGAACAAATTATTGCTGTCTAGAGGTAGACTTAATTGGCCATTTTGTTAAGAGATATTTACGTCTGGTGAATGCATTCAAAAATTTCCAATTTTGACCTTATCTTTTCAATTCAACCACTCAGTTTGTTTACCTCTTGTGGTATCTATGGTTTATGGTGGCTATTATTAATGTTATTTAGTTTCATAGTTGAGGAATCGGACTAAATTAAAACCACTAGCTGAATGCTCCAAAAGAGTTTTGAGGTTTTCAAATTGTATGGGGTTGATAGGTAAGTTCAAGAACTAAATGGCTCCCACCCATTCTTAAGAATTTTAGGGTTTTCCTTTCATTCTTGGGATAATTTCAATTCAATGATAGTGCATGTTCAATTCTTGTATGGACTCACCATGTAATTCTATATTGTTACGCCTACTATTTTTGAATTGGCTAACTTGGTGGTGGTTATAATTGCAGGAAAAGAAGCGGAATAATATCAAAGACTTCTTAAATATTGCAGGGCCCATGGGCGTTACACATTTCCTCATGTTATCAAAAACTGCCACTGCACCATACTTGAGGGTTGCCAGGACTCCACAAGGCCCCACTTTAACATTTAAAATACAAGAGTACTCTTTGGCAGTTGATGTTGCTCAATCTCAAGTGCGCCCTAGATGTCCTCAAGATCTTTTCAAAAACTCGCCCTTGGTAATACTCTGAGGAATGCATACACTACATCCATGCATGTGTCATGCATTTGCATGTTTTCCATAGTGTTGCAGCTGATTCCATCTTAATGTAGTTTACAGAAAATCAGCAAACCTTGGCAGTACTATTTATTTGCAGTGTCCAAAGGGATATCATAAATGGGTTCTAAGTGGTATTTTGGAAGTTTTTAAACTCCTAAGAATGTCATCATGAACTAATCATTAAAATTCAGTTTAGATGTGTCTGAAATCTGTCATTTCCTTCCTACCATTTGATAGAATGTTATGATGATGTAATTATCATAACGTCTTAATGCAAAAGAACCTATAGGTCCAGCCCAACAAAGTGGGTAATGGTCCTCTTTATGTATATCTGCAATTTTTTCTCATCAGTTAATTTATAAACTTCTATGCAGAGAAAAAAAAAAAAGGACAATTAAAATCCCTCAAGCCATATATATCAAGGAATGCCTTCTTTTTTTTGTGGGGGGATATAATGTGCAGTTGGTGTCAAACTGTGTCAAGTTTTACATTTTCTTATTACTTGTTATTTGATCACTTTTACAAATTTTTTTAAATGACTTTTTCCAGATTGTTCTTTCTGGTTTTGGGACTGGGGAGCAACATCTGAAGCTTACAACCATTATGTTTCAGAACATCTTTCCAGCCATTGATGTTAACACTGTGAGTGCAGGAACAATATGAATTAGATGTTTGTATCTGCTTGAAGTAGTATTGCTTCTCCTCTTATGTTGCTTGTGTTGCAGGTCAACCTTTCTTCGTGCCAGAGAATTGTGTTACTAAATTATAATAAGGAGACAAAGCTGATTGACTTTCGGCATTATTCCATTAGATTACAGCCTGTTGGGATCTCACGCAAAATAAGAAAGTTTGTGCAGAACCATCAAGTTCCTGATTTAAGAAGTCTTCAAGACGTGAGCGACTTTGTCACCAAGTATGTGTCACTCTCTTTCTCTCTCCCCCCTTGATATAGTAGGCGGGAAATCAAAAGTTGAAGTGAGCTGTGACTTAAAGTGACTGACAATTTGCTAATCACCCTGCTATAGATCTGATACCATGGGTTTAAGTTTATACTTTTGTCTTTCATATCTGTTTTCTATCATGGTTTTCATAGCATGTGATCAGCAGTCAAGGTCAAGTTATAGTAGTTTTGTTGGTTATGTTATCTGATTCAATATGCTAATCCACTCAACAAAGCTTTGTCCCAATTGCTTGGGACTCAGCCATGCGAATCCCGTTTTTTCCATTCAGCTTGATCAAGGGCCACAATTTCAGTTAAATCACTAGCTAACGTGTTATCCGATTCAATATAATGTATAAAGTGATAACGGTAGAATAAATATCATCTGTATTCATATTAAATATCAAACAGTTCAAGGAAACTTTCTATGTGACTCGTAATTGTTTCTTAGTCTTGTGTGTTGTGATTATTAGAGGTATGATTACAAGGAAATCAGAAGTTAGGATGGTCTAGCTACAAATTGATCAACCAATTTTTAAATTTTATGTCAGTTTGGATGCTGATCATTCTTGCTCTCCTCTTTTCACCTTAAGGGCTGGTTATGGATCAGAAAGCGAAGCAGATGAGGAAGCGGCAACTGTAAGTCTAGCAAGTGATCTTGGTAGGGTTAACCGAGCTTCTACAAAAAGTGCTGTCAAGCTTCAAGAGATTGGACCTAGGTTGACTCTTCACCTCATCAAAATTGAGGAAGGATTGTGTTCTGGTGGAGTCATATTCAGTGAATATGGTATGCTCATCTTATATAACATTTTACCTTTTGTTTTTTCTACTGTGGAAAAAAATTTAGGATGCAAATCTATGAGATTTCTCAAATTACAGCCCCACTCATGTCCATAGGACCATAGTAATGATCTTATTGGTGCGGACCAAGTAAAATTTTGTCCTTATTATATTTAGCTCAATATAAACCCGTTCTTGAACCAATTTCTTGGACTTAGTAGAGACTTCTGAATAGTTTTGGTTGTATAGTTGATTTAGTTTTTGTATATGGGTTGCAACCCCTTGGTGCCTTGCGTTATTATAGATACCCAAAAATAAAAAATAAAAATCAGATGAATCATCTGATTCCATATGTGCAACTTATCTTAATTCTTAAACTTTTTAGTTCTTATCAGAGGTAATAGCTGGTAGTATTCTCTCTGCAAACCTGTTGTTTAATGTTCATATGTGCAACTTATCTTAATTCTTAAACCTGTTGTGTTTCCCTCTAGCCATTTCCCCAACCTCGCTGCCGACTTTTTCATTTACCTATGACCTGCTTTTGTTGGCCTATAAATTTTCCTATTAAATTTCAGTGTGATTTGATGATTTTAGTCAGATTGCATACTTAATTCAATTGGCATGTAAAGCCACCCTCTGAAGGAGTAAATATTGAGTGCAATGGTGATAGCTTCCTACATAGTGTCACTGGGCCAATAAAATACTGCAAATGGAATTAGGTGAATATTCCCTCTTGCCCAATAACACGACCATCAACCATGTAATCTCCACTACCGCTATAATAAATTTCTCCTTGATTTGTGATAATGTCATATGAAATCACTATTCTACTCAATGTTTATGTTACTTTTTACACAGGAGCACAGTACAGGAAACTCCTGTGCAAACTAGATCTGAAGTTTTCAGACTCTGCTGTGCGTTTAAGTTCCCCTCTTAGGCCTTTATAGCACCCAATTCTTATATTTCTCTGTTGCTTCCAGAAAATCATGGTGTAAAGAAAACGCAGCAAGAGGAAGAGGAAGAGGAAGAGGAAGAAGTTGAGGAAGAAATGGTGGAAGATTAGCTCCCAGCTATTTGTTTGAGGACACTTGGTTTAATGGTTGTTGAGTCGAGCAGTTAGGTGGCTCATTTTTATTTTTTCTTACTTTTGTTTTTTTGGTAACTGTTCTACAGGGTGCCAATCTTGATAAGCTTCCAATTTTGTCATTGAAGATCTAGATATAGCTTGATAATACCTTTTTTGTTTTTTTGTGTTTGTGGAAAATGAGCTATAGATTCAATTCCTAGGAAGTGAAAGTTTTAAGTTCGATTATGAATGTCTTAAATTTTTTGTTTTTTATTGGATTATTCACAGTATGTAGAAATTTATGTTCAAATTTGAGATGGGGCTGCACTAATTACTGTTCTGACATTGATGAGCAAGTCTTATTCATATGTAACAGGGACTGGATAGACATCACAAATGAAACCTCAAATAGTTAAAACCCTAAGAACTCTGCTGCTTTTTGGGTTTCTTTCATTTTTTTTTTTTTGAGAACAAAGTTTGGCAGTTATTGTCATTGTTGTTTTGTTTAGGGAATCTTTGTCACTAGAGACCACCCTCCATTTATTAACTGGAAAAAATTCATTTTGACCTTTCAAATTATCATATTTATTTCACTTTATTCTGAATAATTATTGTTTTTACACTATTGACATTAGTTCACTTCAAGCAAAATTATTTATACGCATGATTTCATTGCAAAATTATTTATACGCATGATTTCCTTATTTTGGTTGTATTTAGAGAAAGTAGTTTGTTGTAAATTGTAATCAATTGTATTTTGTGTTTTATTAAATATTTTCAAAACAATTAACTGTGTTTATTGCATGACATCTAACTATTTGTCTCCTTATCTATCTCTTTAATGTGGAGGCAAAGTGAATCAATACTTTTGATGCCGATAGATGTGATATTCTGTTAAATAAGTGAATCAATACTTTTGATGCCGATAGATGTGATATTCTGTTAAATTACGGAACGCGCTAATAGTTTTGGGTGAAGTTAATTAATTTTAATAGTTAAAAGGAGAAAATTATTAGTTGGTCTTGGGTGTCACTTGTTCCATATTAATCATAATTTACCATATCCTCTCATATTTTCTAATTACTCAACACAAATTTGTAAATTTTACTCCCTTCATCAATCACAATATCATTGCAACACCACGTGACGGTATCCCAAGACTAACCAATAATTTCTCGTTAAAAGGGGGTAACTATACAAATTGATAGTTAAAAGTGTATATAAATACAAATGTAATAATGTGAGGGAAAGCTAATTTTTCCTCCCGAAGGACATTAAGGCATTGTTCGAGAATTAGAATTTTTAGTCAAAAAAATCATTATAAATTGTCAAATTATTATTTACTTTTTTGCACCCTTTTTTCTTATAAAAATTAAAAATTCACTAAAAAAAAAGTCAATTCCTAAGAATATTACAAATGCAATCCAAAAACAATCTTTTCATATCTAGATATTCTTCATTCAAACATTTCCACCCGACAATGTACAGCAAAAAAATAAAATAAAAAAGTTGCTAAACAAGTATGTTGAATCTCACTTCTAGATCTCAAGAAAATTGAGCTTATTGACATACTTCAAATTAGGTATTACAATTCTCAATCATCATTTTAACAATCACTACAAGCAAGAAGAGGCAAAGATGCCAGATCTAGACACAGCTGACCCGGAAGAGATTGCTCAAGAGCCGAACAAAGTTGCTGCACAACAGTTTTGGTATATCTAATTACAGCTATATATGACAGCAGAGGATTCAGGAATGAAAATTTCTTTGATGGTGGAAGCAGAGAAAAGAAGTTGAAATCATGACATGTATGTTTGTTTGTCAACAGAGTCTTTCACCGCAGTGGATCAACCATTATCACATCGTGTTTCTTACGCCGGCATCTATGATGGGCCTTTTGCAGTGTCTTCTAACCAGCCATCTCCATATTAGAATCTGTACCTGTTTGCATGGAAGGGAAACAAACACCATCAATATCAGGTTTAAGCTTTTAACCAGCAGCATAACTAATCAATCGATCACTTCACCAGCAGAACAACAAAGGAGGTGGCAAGCACCATCTCGCCTGTCACATCAACAGGTGGCGAAGATTTGACATCGTTCAATAACTTACTATGACTGTGGCGTTCACTTAATGAATACATAAATGCATTTCCTTCTCTTCTCTTCTTTTTGTTTTTGTTTTTGATTTTTGCTTTCTTGGGGAGTGAGGAGCTCAAGAAAACAACAAAATGCAAAACAAAGAGTCACAACATTATCATTGTTTCCAAAATTCACAACTGTGCCCAATTGTTTCGTTAGGTCCAAACTAAACAAGAGACTAATAGACACCATTGAGTTGAATAATCTCCAAAACCCTCAATACACACCTTGTTAATGCTTTCTGAACATGCATAGAAATTAAAATCGTAGTGTTCAATTGTGTATTCAATTAGAAGTTGAGAGGATCTTGATGTAAATGTGAGAATATAGAATATATCATCGTGCGTTACAAATTAGAGTCCTATTAGAGGTATGATTGTGTTAGAGTTCTATTACAGACATAGAGTCCTGTTAGAGACATAATTATAATCGTATTTGTATTTTCTTTTTTGGTTTAGGATTCAGGGCTATATAATCCAAGGTCTAATTGTAATCTTTGACACAATTGAATATACAGAAAAGCTTTCAGGAATCTTACATGGTATCAGAGCCACCACCAGAACCTTAGAAATTGTCTTCCTCTTCAGTGTCTGTGTGAGTTGTGGGTCTCCCTTGATCAAATCTGGTTCTCAAATCTTCTCCTTTGATCGATCGAAGCTCCCTTGACCTTGGCGAGAACCAGATCACCGAGACGCAACTCCCTCTTCCCCTTCGCTCCTCTCGCTCAACGTTTACGAGTCGGAGCCATTAACGCTACAAAACCCTAGCGGGCACCACCAACCACGTCGTAATCACCAACCACATCGTAATCGTCTTCTTCTTCGTCGTAAGAAGAGCGATCAGAGTCGTAATCTCCCTCTTCCTTGACTTCGGCTTCGTAATCTCCCTCTTCCTTGACTTCGGCTTCAATCTCTCTCTCTCGTCTCTCTGATTTGGTTCTCTCGGCTTCAGACTGGTTCTTTCGACTTCAAAACTCTAGTTAATATTTGTGGGTCAAGGTAAAAAAAAAAAAAAAGAAGCTAGTTTTTATATTTTACATTATGGTTTTGGATTTATTGGCTTTACCTCCATCAGATTTCTGTGTATTACCCTTCGACCCCTGTTTTGGCTATTTTGTTGAATATAGGATTTATTACACTTTAACCCCTCAATTTTCTAGTTATTACGATATCTCTGGTTTTTGATGAGTGTGCCTTCTGTCATTAGAAGGGCCATTGGAAGTACCACTGTCCCAAGAAAGGACGCCAGCCTGCCTCATTTTTTTAACAATCTCAGAACCACTTCCGGGCTCCTCCCACTGCGTATGTTGCATCTGTTCCGACTCCTGATCTTAACTTGGCTTCCTTGACTGCTCAGATTAGTCAACTTCAGCATATATTGTCTACCACCCAGCCATCTCCATCTGCTTCTATTGTTTCATCTCTTCATTCAGGTTTGTTTGGGTCTTCTTCAGGTATCTCTTCGTCTGTCTGGCTTTTTGACTCTGGTGCCTCTCATCATATGACTCCCCATCTCTCCTTACTTCACAATTGTACTCCTTCTCCCTTTCCTATTACCGTCAATGCTGCTAATGGATCTGGTATGTCTGTTGTATCTGTTGGGTCTGTTCTGCCGTCTGCTATGTCTATTGTCTCTATTCCATCTGTCCTTTATGTTCCTCAGTTATCTGTCAGTTTATTATTTATCAGTCAGCTTGATGCCGCTGGTTTTGATGTTATCTTTTCTTCTGCTATTTGTTCTATACAGGATCGAATGTCTAAGCAGCAGATTGGGACCGACCGTAGAATTGGAGACCTCTATGTGGTGGAGACCTTGTATCTGCCTATAGCAACCTCTTTGATTGCCTTTTCCTCTTTTCAGTTAGATTCTCTGTCTAGTCCCTTCTACTTATGGCATTCTCGATTAGGGCATTTGTCTGCTGACCACTTACGGTCTTTAGCTCAGTTAGGTATTTTGGATAAAGTTTTTCCTAGTGAACTTACTGAATGTTGGGGGTGTAAACTTGCCAAAATGATAGCCTTACCTTTTCGTAAAAGTACTTGTATATCTAATACACCATTTTCTTTAGTTCATACTGATGTTTGGGGCCCTTTTCTTGTTCTTACCAAAAGGGGTTCTGCATACTATGTGTCATTTGTTGATGACTGCACCCATTACACTTAGGTTTATCTTATGACTCATAAGTCCGATTTCTATCAGATATACCGTACCTTTCAGTCTATGATTACTACTCAGTTTGGGTCTATAATTAAAGTGTTACGGTCTGACTTGGGTGGAGAATATTTAAAAAATGAGTTCTGTGAGTATTTGGCCAATTTGGGTACCATTCACCAAACTTCCTGTGCAGATACACCTGCCCAAAATAGTCGAGCCGAGCGTAAACACCGTCATTTTCTTGAGACCGCTCGGCCTCTTCTTCTTTTTGCCTCAGTTCCGGCTCCATTCTGGGGGGAGGCAGTTCTTATTGCTGCTTTTCTTCTCAACCGCATGCCTACTCCCCTTCTTTCAAGTCGGTCTCCTTATGAGGCTTTGTTCTCCCAAATTCCTAACTACTCCCTCCATCGTGTGTTTGGGTCTGCCTGTTTTGTTCTTCTTCCCCGCAAAGATAGGACCAAACTTAGTGCGCGGTCTGTCCTCTGTGTCTTTTTGGGTTATAGTCCTACTCAGAAAGGCTATCAGTGTTATGACCTTGTTTCCCGTCGTCTTTATGTCTCCCGTCATGTTTCTTTTCTCGAACGTCTGCCTTACTTTCAGCTTCCTCCTGTCACTGCTTCAGTTTCCAAAGAAGATTTGGTTTATATTGATCTATTTCCTTCTGAGGTACCGTCTGATGAGTACATCTCCACAGTTCCTCTTGAGCTTGTTTCATCTTCTCCTCCTGCTTCACCTCTGCCTGCTTCTCCTCCTTCAGTTTGTTCTCCTCCTCCGTTGTTAGTTTATTCTCGTCGCAAGGCTTCTCCTCCACCGGTTGTCTCTACCCCTATTGCTGATCCTCCTGCTGTTGCCGACTCTGATCCTGTTGCACATCGATATCCTTCTCGAGCGTGTTATCCTCCAAACAGGTTAGGTTGGTCTAATACATGTTTTTCTGCTTTCTATCGTACTTTTTTGTCTGCTATCCACTCTTTTTTAGAACCCCAGTCTTACAAAGAGGCATGTCAGGACCCTCATTGGGTTCACGCTATGGAAGATGAAACGTCTGCTCTA